TTACTGAAAGCAAATTAAACTTTAGTTGCGGTACATACAACATTTTTATATCCTGGTTTATGTACGGACAACGTGCAAAACCTTGACCTTTCGCTTTCAGGTTCCAGCCGTTAGCAAGAGATATATGTTGAGAGCTTGTAGACATTTTTATAAATTTTGTCTTATCTCTTGTGATGCAGTGGGATGCGCCACTGTCAACCACCCATAGATTATTCTTCACATCAGAGTTGCTAAACGTGGCTAGTTCAAATGCTTTCTTTGGCTTTTTTACATTCTGGCTTTTTCTCTTTTTGCAGAATCTTGCCAAATGTCCTCTGCCTCCACAATTAAAACACTTTTTAATTGTGTATGCCGTTGAAGATAAATTCTCTTCTTCCAGGTGCTTTACTTTGCTTTGCTGGTTTCTTTCAAACTTTGAAGATAATTTCTCTTCTTTCTTATCTTCTCTCAGCTCGTCACGCTCACGCCTTCTTCTGGCTTCTTCTAGTAGCCTGCCTGTAATCTCGGTTAATGAGAGGCTTTCTTTTGGCAATACCTCTAACGAAGTCACATAGTCATCATAGCTTTGATCTAATGAAGATAATATTATGTAGACTTGTTGCAGTTCATTAAATATAAGCTCTTTTTCTTGCAATTCTTGAAAAATGCTCTTCATACAGTTTAAATGAACTAACATATCTCCATTCCTCTGAAGATGCGTTCGAAAAAGCTTCCGTGTAAGATTTATATGTGCTCCTACACTGTCCCGAACATAAATCTTCCTGAGGTTCTCCCAGCAGTTTGCAGCATTTTCTTCTCCACGAATATGGACAAGCTGCTGATCACAGAGAGTCAGTCCTATGATGCATAAAGCCTGCTCATTCTTCAGGTTAAAGTCTTGTAACTTTTCTTTATCATCATCATTAGCAGGATCCCAGCTACTCACATCTGGTGGGTTTGCTATAATGTCCCACAAACCTTCTCTGCGTAGAAGTAAACTACATTTCATTGACCATGAAACATAGTTTGTTCCATCCAGCCTGGATATCATGGACAGTTGTGACAAATTTACTTGTGCCATTACTCTTCAGATATTTTGACTATTTTAAACTAATTAAAACAGTTTGTTTTTACAGTAATGTGCAACTCACACCAACTCTCACTGCTATATCCTGGTTAGTTAGACTATGCTGCTGGGCCCATAACCAATGTTAGGGTTTGGGGATTAACCCCTAGCAGAGTATTGCAGCAGTAGTCAAGCCAGGAAGGGCCCAGAGTATACACACACTGAACACAAACACTGTTTGTAGTTTAAATAGTTTTTAATCCAGTTAGAGTTTAAGCATTGTCATTCAGTCCATTAAGTCATTCACAGTATTTCCATCCAGTAAGACTCACTAGTATAGTCCAAGTTAAGAGTCCTTGCAATATCTTTATCAGCCGATAAAGATATCTTCTCCTCCTCCGGTTTCACTCTCCAGAGAAACAAACGCTGGATATTCAGTAGAATTACGCAGTAAATCAGCAAACAGTAGCAAACAATAACAGTTCAGTCACAGGCACTCACAGTCAGTAATCACAGTTAGTCACAGCAACACACAGTAAGTCGCAGCAGCACACAGTTACAGTTACAGTCAGTAAGCTTTCCAGCTTCTAATGCTTCCTTATATTGTAACTTCTAACCGCACCCTTAATCGGCTAATTGCCTGCTGCATTGTGCTTAAAGTGATAAGCACTTAAACCATGATATCTAAGTTTTATATATTTATTCACCCAAACCATATTTGGTATCAATGTTATACCTAACAGTGAACTGGTCTTACACTGACAGCCAGGTGCCTTTGATTATCCCTCAGCAAGGAACAAGGGCGAATTAGAATAGGTAAATATGTTGTTCCACGTTTTCTTTGCAGGCCATCATTTCAAAATTGCTGGAATATTGCATCCAATTTGGTTGCCACAATATAAAAAAAAAGAAGAAGATGTGGAGACTTCTATAAATTGTGCAGAGCAGAGCAACAAAGATGATTAAGGGACTGGATAGGCTAAACCATAGGAAGAACGGTTGCTAGAATTGGGTGGGTCTAGTTTAATGAAAAGAAGGACTAGGGACGACAGGATAGCACTGTTCGTATATTTGAGGGCTGCCACAAACAAGAGGGGGGTCAGTCTATTCTCCAAAGCACCTGAAGGCAGGACAAGAAACAATGGATGGAAACTAATCAAGAAGAGAACCAACCTACAGCTAAGGAGAAATTTTCTGGCAGTAAGAACAATTAATCAGTGGAACAAATTTGCCTTCAGAAGTTGTAGGTACTCCAAAACTTGGAGGTTTTTAAGAAGAGATTGGACAGCCATTTGTGTGAAATGATGTAGTTTGAGAAGACCTCCAAGGGCCCTTCCAACTCTGTTATTCTGTTAAAATTATATGCTTTTAAAAAGAGAAAAAGGAAAAAAATCAACCAAGGTACCCCGTATTATATCTGGCTGCTTTAAAACTGGCAAAACTCAGGGATTGGCGTTGCAGTCCAACATTTCTGCAAAGTTCCAGGTGGCTGATTTATAGGTGGCTCCCTTTACCGAAGGCCGAGGTTAATCAGAGATGCATAATCAATTCTCTAACCAGAGATACCTTACTGTACATTATCCAGATACAGTATCTGAAGGCTAGGGGCATATTTCTTCCTCTAAGCACACGGCGCAGGTAGTTTTGAAATCTCCATATTCCCAAACCACTGTTATTGTCTCCGTGCTTAATGTTCTCTTTGCTCCCTTTTTTTTTTCCCCTCCAAACAGCCACTGGAATCAACTCTAAATCAAACAATAAACCTGTATGGCTTACAGTTATTTACAGTCAGCTGGGTTTAATAAAACCTGTCATAAACAATTCTGATGCTTGCAACAAAGCTGTAATTTATCTCACTATCCTGTATTAACAGTCCCTGTACACCAGAAAGGCAAAAAGTGTGATTGAAATGGCAAAAAGAAAGAGAGAAAGAGAGAGAGCGCGCGCATTTAAGCAAACAAAGAAAAGGAAGATATTTTCTGACTCTGCATCTCCCCTTAGTGGAAAACAAGCAGTACGGCAAGATCTATTTTTTCTTTCCAGCTGTCTGAAAGACAGGGTATAATGTGGAGATTTCTGCAATTATTAGAAGTAATTTATCTCCTGGTATAGTGGTAGTTCTCGACTTACACCCATTTGTTTAGCAACGGTTAGAATTCACAATGGCACTGAAAAAGGTTATTTATGGCTGGTCCTTGCACTTACAATGCTCATGGCATCCTTATAATCATTGGATCAAAATTTGGGCGCCTGGCAACCATCATGAATTTATGACGGTTGTACCATCCCGGAGTCATGCGAGCATCATGCGCGACTGTTCCAGCCAGTTTGGGGGAAGCTGGGTTCGCTTAACGACTGCATGATTCAATTAACGACTAGGGTGAGCCAGTTGTTAATTGAATCCACTGTGGCACAGTGGTTAGAGGGCAGTACTGCAGGCTACTTCTGCTGACTGCTGGCTGACTGCAATTTGGCAGTTCGAATCTCACCACGCTCAAGTTGACTCGGCCTTCCATCCTTCCAAGGTAGGCAAAATGATTGCAGACAGATCGCTGCGGGCAAGAGGCTGACTCTGTAACCCACTTGGGGGGGGGGGGGGGGGG